AGTATAGGTAGTTATTTAGTCCCCTATACTATGGGTTAGAGTTGAGTGGTTAGCTTGGGGTTAGGTCTAAGACATTTTCAGGTGGCTAGTTACCGTTATAGGAGCCTTATAGAAGGTTCAAAGACCTTATAGAAGCCTTATAAAAGCCCTGTATATCCTAAACTCCCCACCTGTAGTTTCCTTTAACTTGTCATGTAATTATAGTATAATATACCCCACAAGCCAAATTCTACTCATTAAGGCCCGTATATTAGGGTGTCTGCAGAAGGCAAGGAGAGGAAGAGCAATAGAGAGAGATCCAATGTCCTCCCTTGAGGGCCTAGCGCCCCAAGCATTAGATATTGCGAAATGGGTCTATAATGCCTTTGTGTCTGCTTGGACCGTCAACCGATAGATGTGGATGCTGCTCTGCCGGATTCTAGTGGGTTGCTGATTTCCTCGCTGGTTGAGCATTGTTGAACTTCCGTGTCAACAGCTGCTGACATTTGGTGCGATGGTCTGCAGGCAAAGTAGAATGTAGGGGATCCGACTGGAGATTGGGCAGGGAAGTCTAAAGGAAGGATGGCACTGTCTTCTCTCGTGTGAATAACGACTGAAACCGGGACCGATATGCCCCTCACCCTGTCAACACAACATCGACTGGTTCAAGCCTCAGGGGACCGACTCTGCCGTGGAAGCAGATGGCGAAACAGAGACAGACGCATCTCTGCAATCACTCGCAAGTTTCAGGTTAAGGTTCCGTGAGACTCGTGACTTGCCTTAGGAAGATCCTGTAGGCGCAATGATGTTGTCGACACTATGGACAAGAATCTCTCTACAGTTTCAGTTGAAGCAAGCAGCACGGGTGGTGTAAGTGTGCTCATGATTCATGTCCATGTATAAGAGCCACATCTACGAGACAAGCCTCAGCGATGCTGCAAGGAACCTTAAACCCTAATCCAATCTCATCACTGGTCCATTCAAGGAGAAGCCCGATGCTGGTGTGGAAACCTCTGCCGGCGAAGAGCCAGCGCCGGTAGCTGCCTTACAGCTGGTTCCAGTACAAAATACATGTGGACGTCTTGGGAACATCTAGGACACGCATAGAAAGCTCTGTAGCAGTGACGGCTCCGGGAGCTTTCAGCGAGATCCAAATTCCTCGCTAGATCCTCGATATCCTACCCCTCAGGCACAGTCAAGGTCTTCGTTTGATCAGGCACCTCCTTGCGGTTTCTACATCCCAGATGCCTGACGGTGTATACGAATGTGCACCTGCATCATTGCATAAATTGTGCACCACGACGAAGACCGAGGCCGACCTGTGACAGACAGCCACCCGCTTGACTCTGTCTGTGTTTGATTCGATACTTAATATTGGTTGGAAGGTACTCAGCACTTGCCAATCTTGCCCTCTTGAAGCCTGATTGCCTTTCAGCAGGGCCCCACATATAATCAAGTTCGAACACCGTTATGATTCGAGGAAACTGGGCTCCGGGGCTCGGCAACTTCGTCCCCTCCGAGGCCCCACCGCCGCGGCTCCGGCGAGTGCGTCGCGCACGCAGCGCAGCCGAGCCAACGGCGGCGAAGGTGCGGCCGAGGCGCCCCGAGGGATTGGATGATGAGTTCATTCGGTCTAGTGTGCAAGATCGTGCAAGGAACAGCAGCAGTAGCAGCCGCAGCAGCAGCAGCAGGTGTTGTTGTTGGTGGTGGTGGCGGCGGTGGTGGCAGGGCGGCGACCGTGCTGGTGGTGGTGGCGGTGGTGGCGGTGGCTGTGGCGACGGTGGCGGCGGTGGAGGCGGTGGCGGCGGCGGCGGCGGTGGCGGTGGTGGTGGTGATGGTGGCGGTGGTGGTGTTGTTGTGGTGACGGCTATTTATTGAAAGTGTTTTTTACTGGTAGTACTTGTAGTCGTCGTCCGGGGCTATGTCCCTGCGTTATGCAGGGGCTCTCCAGTTTGACGTATAGGACATGCAAGACGACGACGGTGGTGACTTTAGTGAGATCAAGACCGTCGAAGTGCATGATTTGATTGCGATGTGGTTTGACTTCAGAATGGTCATGAACTCTCCATAGTGTAATTGCTACGCTTGGTGCGGCAGGATCAGGCGGAGCTGCAAGGTATGATGTACAGACTGTGTCGGAGAGGTTTCAGGGCCCGTGCAGCGTAGCTGCTTCATGGTCTTCTGCTTGACTTTTGAGAAGGCTTAAAACGTGGCTCGGCTCACGAAAGGCAACCACTTCGAACATCCCTCTGTGCCGACATGGTCTTGCAAAATTAAGAGTATGCCAGTCAGAGCTTCCGGACAAAGGTCGGAAGGCTGACGTATCGGTATCCGCTGAACTGGATGAAGTCAATGTCCTTGGAACAGCTGCAGCGCCGCTTTGACCGACTTCAGGCTTTGCAGCGGCGCCTGGCAAATCCCCCACCAACTTTTTTCGTTGCCGGTGGGAGGAGGTATGATCTGCCTCTTAGGGCGGGAGCCGCGAAACAGTGTGCTGATGTCCCGCAACGCGTTCTCGACTACATGGGAGGCTTTTTCGATGGAGATGGATGCGTGAACATAGACAGCAGCCGGTACCGGCTAAAAATAACTCAAGCCCAATCCGGGAGCGAAGTTCTGCTACTATTCCGAAACGTGTTCGGTGGCGGGATCTATGCACAAGGCAAAACCTTGGGCATGCATCGGGCAGCCCTGCAGTGGAGCGTAGGCAGCAATTCTGCTCGACTTGCAGCGGGCAGGCTAAGCCAAAGCACCTGCTGCAAATATGATCAGTTGCTCCTGGCTGAATCGGCTCTACCAGACCGAAGCAGGCTTACAATCCTGAGAGCTTTGGCACCGTCGAGGGCAGTGTGCCCATCTTGGTCATATTTAGCTGGCTTCTTCGATGCTGAGGGACATATTCGACTTCGATACCCCTCGAGCATTGCATTGCAGATCGGGCAAAAGTTTCCTCATGTACTGCATGCGATCCAAGATTTCCTCTGGTGTGCCGAGATAAGAAGCTCCATGTATACGAGCAGCAGCAGTCACCTGCTCGTCGTCAACCGGACCGAAGAGTGCAAGCACGTGTTGAGGAGACTACTGGTTGCAGGCCTCCGTGTGAAACGAGACACAGCCAGGATTTCGCTTGAGTTGACCCCGAGCAACTTCCATCACGTCCGAAGCGAGCTGGAGAAAAGGGTCGGGCTCCAAAGTCGGTACAAGCGGCTGACTGCCGCTGGAGCTGAGCGCGCGCATGTCATACGCACTCTGCAAGCGAAGACACGTGAAGGAACAGCCACTTCAAACATAGCTCTGCATCGGCACATTAATCCACAGTTGATGTCTCTGCAAGCTACTCACCGGTTAAGGTGCGCGGAGGAGCGCTATCTTCTGCTCCGTGCCGATATTCGATCAAAACTGCGTCACGAAGCCTGGATCCGGAATTTGCCACAAATGGTGGCACAACGCAACACAGCGGTGCTTGCCGAATCGCCTTGCCCTGTGCATGAAAGCCACCTGACTGCCAAGAAAGAACAGCCGAGGTTTCAGCCGCACTGAGGACGGTCCTGAGCCTCTTCGTTTGACACGGCCCAGCGGAGCATGCCATATGCCATATGATGTCAACCCCGAGGGCCTGAATAGCAGCTTACTGGGGTACATAATACATGGTTAGTCAGGAGTAGGCAATTGGATCCCTCGGGCACCTGACTAAACATGCTCGCAGTTCGGAAAACAGTGAGAAGTTTACATTGGCATACTGTGTTGATGCAGTGTCGTGCGTGCGATAATCGAAATTCTTGTGTCATGGTAATCTGCCATCGGCATCCAGCCGCACTGTTGGCTTCCTGTGCTCCCGGTTCCAGAATGGGTATAGAGGAACACACAACTTCCATGCCGTCGGAAAGCTGAGACTTGGTTTGCAGGCTGGCTGGCCCGACCACGGAGGACGATGCGACGCAAAGCGATGCCGATAAGGCACGATTAAGGGGTATTGAAGTCGGGCCCGGCTAAGGGGCACATACCTTGCTCTTTTCTGGTTCGGTACCGCTGGTTCCGAAACCTTCGGTGTTCATGAATCTGCGCAAAAACGCCGACAAGCTTTTTTCAGGGACGTTTGAACACCAATGGAGCGAGTGGCGCATTTCCAGGGGCCCTTAGTTTGGCTGAACAGACACGTGATGAAGATTGAATAGACACTGGCTTGATCGACATTGTCGGATGCTAAGGCCTGTCCGGGTACAAAAGGGTTCTTACCCACACCATCCCACACCCTCACAGTCGCAAGCACATCGAGTCAAGCACAGGCCAAGACTCTTTCCCTGGCCGTGATTGGATCGCGCCCACCCAAGCTTCGCCAGCGAAGTGTCTTGGCGGAGCTGAGGTTCGATTTCCGATTCCTGCTTACCTGAAATGAGGCTTGCAACACCCTTCTTCCTGTGGCAGTGGTCCCCTCCTCCTCCTCCTCCTCCTCCTCCTCCTCGTCCTATCCATCCACAACACCAATCCGGCGGCTTGATAGTTGCGATGACTTGTAGCTGGCATACTCTACGGTTGCAATGGCTCCCTAAGGTCGACCCGTGCCAACGAAGTCCATCTGGAAAGAGGCGGCGTTCATGGTGAGAGGGATCATCACTGTTGTCGAAGCCTTTGCGGACGACGACTTGAAGGGTCCGGGTATGCTATCATTGATTAGGAATCGTCCACGTGATGGTCCGTGACGTCTATACTCATACTCAAGGCTTCATGGGTAACCAGAGCCAGGTTTGTAAGCGCTTTTATTATCTTCGGCTACAAGACTCCTAGTAACACTGGCTATTCTTGTAGCCTTGTCTCTGCAGGCCATTGCAGGTCCATCAGCCGGTACAGTAACGTCTATCATAATTTCCTGGGCCGCCGAGCTAATCCCAAATATCCAAAAGTTTCTGCGAACCTTCCTTGCGCTGACTACCTCCGTGTCTCAGGAGCCAGACTTCGACTCCGGCTTGGGCGCGTTGCTTCTTGAACGCATTAGTGTTCAGGCCTTGACGTGGTGGGCGCAATTAAAGCAGCCATGAACTCGTGCTACCCAACTCTGGCACCACACCGAACTCGTCCACAGGGCTCGGTCAGAACAGGTGAGGTCAGCTGAGACGAAAAGCGGGGCGTCTTGCCTAAACCCTCAACCCTAAATCTCAAAACCCTAAACCCCCAGGAAGAATCAATCCGACGACAGCAGAGAGAAGGAATGCACGAGAATTTACGCAGTCAGACTTCGGAAGTCTGCTCTTTCACCGCAATGGCGTGCTTGGGTATCATGAATTACATGAGCCGCTGCATTGGAGCATTCTCAGAATTTCAGCACATCCTCGAACCTGAATCCCTTGCGCTCCCAAGGTATTTCTCCTTCAGCTCGATGCGCAGCGCAGAGGGGCAGAAGGCGCGGTCCCCTCCAGCAGATCACCGGAATGATGTTTAGTTCGAGTATCGTTGTGCCTGATCAAGAAGAGAATTGGACACGTTCTTTGCATGTGAAGGGCCTGTATGCTTATCAAGCTGTCCATGCATCCAAGGGCGTTGATCTCTGGCGGTCCTTCTGTCTTCTCGTCAGCGCATTGCCCAGGTTCCCTTGAAAAATCGAGACAAAGTTGTTCGAACGTTGCATGAGCTCAACAGCAAGGCTGGGGCACCTGTGGAGAGTGCAAGGCTTGTTGGCAAGTCCCTGCCTGGAAGTGTAATTTAGTTGGGAGCTTCCGAAATACCCTACCTAGTTAATTTATCAGGGTGTTTTTGCCGTTTCACATGCACAAGATTCGGGTTCTCGGAAGTCGGAAGGCTGGCCTAAAATCTGTGCGCATGACCCCTGCTAAGGATGACACGCACTAAGGTGTGTGCTTGGCCCCTGCGCTAAGGATGACACGCACTGAGGTGTGTAGCATGGCCCCTGTGCAAGAATGACACGCACGTCGAAGGTGCGATAATCGTTGTGAATTGCCAAATGGCTCAAGTGAGCATTCAAGCGAAAAGCAGGAGTTTGAAAAGCTCGAGCCCCATCTCTCCCAGTTCGGGAGAGTGGGGCATGTCAGGGTCCACTTGGGAGCTTGACATTGCAGGCGGGGTCGTTTTCAAGGT